AGTAGTCTCCTCATGCACGGCCGGGGACCGTTAACATTGGCCATGAGCATGCCCAGTGAGGCTACTACTTTGGCCGCCTTGTCAGCTGCCCTGATAATATGCTCACCATAGTTAAGCTTGTTGTCATGCATTACCCCGAGATATTAGACAGCCGGATTAGTCTGGACCGCCGCATCTCCTACAATGAAGCTGCGCAAGGTGTTGATGCGCTTCCTCGTAATTAGCACGATCTCTGTCTTCTGGGCTGCTAGAGATAGCTCGTGGTCTTCCATCCAGGAGGTAACTCTCCGCATGACCTGGTTGAGCAGCAACTGTACCCCCTTCGTGTCTCTTGCGGTTATGATAACTGCAATGTCATCTGCATATCCAACCAAGAAAGTACCTTTTGGGACTGCCATACGAAAGATACCGTCGTAGAATATATTCCATATAACCGGTCCCAGTATAGAGCCCTGGGCTGCCCCCGCTGTCAATTCCAAGCTTCTTGGACCATCACTCGTGTCGTATACTAGGAAGCGCTCGTTTAGATAATCGTCAATTATTCGCAGTAGGTACTTCGCAACGTCGAAATTACGTTCGATCGCTTCCCTTGCCAGGTCCCACCTGACGGAGTTGAAGGCATTTCTCACGTCTAAGGTGGCTAGCAGGCACAGAGGTCGAGTTCGATGATTGCCTCGCTCCATCATTTTCGCGGCCGTGACCACCTCCAGGACTGCGTGGATGGTGGAGAGGCCGGATCGGAATACATACTGACGGCCGGCAAGATCCCCCACTGCCTTCACGGCTGCTCGCAGCCTTGGCCTTATCAGCTTCTCCAGGAGTTTTCCAGCCGTATCGAGCATACAAATAGGCCTGTATGATGAAGCTGCCCCTACTGGACCCTTGCCCTTGCTAATGAGCACAAGCCTCGCTTTCTTTCATGGAGCGGGAGAGATGCCCACCCTGAGGCAAGTTTTATACATGTTCAGCAATAGCTCAGGGTGACTCTGCGCGACGACTTTAATTATTTCTGCTGGGAGTCTGTCTGGACCTGGAGCTTTCTTGTTCCGCATAGATGATACGGCCCTGAGTAGCTCTTCTTCCGTGAATTGCGGTACATAGCTTAATCCGGGCGCATCCAAGCTGATCTCTCTCTTCGGCTGTGGGGGGATTAGAGTATGCACGATGTGATCCAACGTCCTCGCGTCCTGAGGGGTCCCTTGCGAGTTAGTCCCCAGTTTGCGAGTGACGATGACATACACTAATCCCCACGGATTCTGGTCGACATCCTGGCACAGCTCCTTCCAGCACCGTCGTTGACTGGCCTTAATGGTCCTCTTCAGGGCTTTCTTGGCCGCTTGATAGTCTGCGGCCAAAGGAGCAGCGCCGTGGTCGCGTCACTTCGCTCGTTATGCTAAACGGCGTAGCCTTAAGCACTTCTTACGTAGATCTGCGATCTCGTTCGTCCACCAATATACAGGGCGTCTCTGCCGTCTCGTGCCATTCTTTGGCACTGTTATCGCACACGCATTTAGATGATCTGCATGCGTTGCTGCGCTAATCAACATGGCTTCTGCAGGTGGCGATAGACTCGCTGAAGTATTTTGTTGGAATCTCCATCCTTCCTCTATGAACGAAGACACCCTCTCTCGATACATTCTTGCAATGTTCCACCGGGGTGTCGCTTTACACTTGTCACGGCTGGCCTCCTATCATGTACATCGAATAGGATGTACTGATGATCGCACCCGGTATAATCCTCGATCACCTGCCAGCCTGCGAATCTTGCCACAAGGTGTTCGTTGGTTAGAGAGACATCCGGGATCGTCTCTCTGTAACCAGGCCTGCGGAAGGTTGAAGTCGAACCTGTGTTGAGTACTGATAGCTCCAGTCTCGACGCCACCTCCATGATACGTCTTCCTCTGGAGTCCGGCCTGGCCTCCCCCCAATCGAGAGCTTTGGCATTGAGGTCTCCAGCCACAATGAGATCCCCTTGCATTTCCCGCAGCGCGTTTTCCAGCACGTCCAGTTTGATTTGGAAGTCGTCTATCCGGTCGTTCGGAGTGAGATATACACTGACATAAGTCGCCGAGTTATGTCTCACCCAAACGTAACAGCGTCCGGATCCTTGGTCCGACACATTTATTAGTCGGTGATCTGACATCCAGATGGCCGCGGTACCCAATTCGTCTGCGAACCATCCTACTCCTGCTCTGTCTTGGAACTGCTCGCTGATTAGCACAATAACAGCCTTTTTCTCAAAGCAAAGCTGGGGTAGAAGGTGATGCGCCGTCCTGCTCGTATTCAGGTCACCCTGAAGTACACTCCACCTTTTCTCTTTTTCATTTTTTTCCAACGTCTTTACTGTTGCAAGGGCCTCCTGGAAAGATTTGCAGGGCCTTGAACCCGCAAGGTGCTCCCAGGCTTCAACACCGCTCTTTAAGCATAAGAAGCAAATCGGCTCGATGACGATGCACTCTTTGATCTTGTACCCCGTGCTGCCACAATAATAGCAAACCAT